ATCTTGTTATCAGATCAACATTTTTTTTTAGAATTTTTTTTCTTTTTTTCTTGAAGTAAACATGAAATGCATGTTTCAATATTGCACTACACACTTATGTCATATTACAATATGTATCACAACTATGACAGATGTAGTGTCAAAGATACATGGTTGTGATAAAACTACAGATATTATTCATTAAGATAATTGCTGGAGATCTGAAGGAGATTGAATGTAGAAATTGAAGTATTGAATATTGACAAGGTCAATGGTATATCAATATCAATACTCTAGAGATTTAACTAACTCAATAGATATCAACCACACTGACATATAAACATACAAATTACAATACATTACTATTTATTCTCTTTCTTACTATATTTACAATTACTACTAAGTCAGTGCCAACATTCTGCATTCTGTAGATGCTTAGTTCCTTCACATTCAACCACATTTAGCAAATTTATCTGCATGTTCCAAACTATTCAATTGGTTTTTGAAGTTTGCTATGATGTTAAAGGGGGCACAAACTTAATTACAATATTTATATCAAAGCAGATATGAAATTTAACGTAAAGATGATAATTTTTTGAAAATCTGACTTTCGGGGGAAAACATAGAAGCAAATGAATTCATAAAACAAAGATTACTCTTTTTATTAGCATTATTGTGAAACCAAAATTCACTGCGCAAAATGAAATTAATATAATATAAGTTATTGTGACAAAACTTGATAGTGTTGTTTCTGAAAAGATTCTGGTTTCAGTTTGTATTTTACAATATCACTTACTTTTCTTTTTTTGCTTCACCTTCATTTAGTATTTCTACTATATGTGGTACTTTATCTACCTTCAGATCTTCTTCAACATCTCTGAAAGAACATTAATTGTTAAAGGTTTAAGAAAATGTACAAATCATCTTCTACTATAAGAGTATACAAAACTACGTATGATTCTTGCATGCAAATAACACCCACAAATGTAGTTGACAGCCATTTATAATCTCTACCTCGACTTAATAAGTGGAATTTTGCAAAGGCTGCAATATTTCAGCACAGAAATGGCTTTAAATTTGATTTTCAGGTTTGCTAAAGTATTCGTCTATTTTAAGGAATTTGAAATTCAAAATGGTTGTCAACTACGCTTGTGTGTGTATTATTTGCATGTGAGAACCAAGCGTGGGTTCGCATTCTATAAGAGTAGACTATATTTAAGACTATATTGTATTGATATGCCTAATAAATTTCAAAATAACGAAATATCCTCACACTTTAAATGAATTTTGCCAAATATAATTATAGAAATTGGAATATCTGCTTCAGAACTGATAGTCTTAAAATATAAGTTGAAATTTGCTTTATACAGTTCGGCTGAAAATTTCAAAGTGATATGTTCATAATTTTATCAACATAAAGAGATTATCAGTACTGTTTAGAAACTTTAATGATTGTATGGGTTGGATATAGGTTTTGAAGTGTTGTGGCAATTTCAGAGTCACGAGAGACTGCAAACCGACAAATTTCTTTTCATATAGGACTTTCGAAAATTGTTCTAATGTTTAAATTACAAAAACATACATGTCTGCTCTTTAGACCTGTTAAGGGTCTATGAGCATATTAACATCAGTTGGAAATTCTGGGCTGTCAGCCCATTACTGTCAATAGTAAGCATACTCATACTGGTGCCTTGAGAGTAGTATAAGTGTTTTTCACTAACGACATGAGTCAAAAAAGACAAGGGTTGAGAATCAGCCAAGTTAAACAGCTCGTTGCTATTGCTGTACCAGATATGAAACTAAATTTCCAAAAATTGCATCATTTTCAATTGCATTGATTTTTTATCTAATAAATTTATTAAAAATCACAGCTGATGAATAATTGACTCTTACAACAAATCGAATATCAATTACAGGATTTTGTAGTAATTGTAGTAAAATTCCTTCACATTTGGATTCCCTGAAGAATTTCCATTGATAAAATGTATCGACCAAAATGATCAATACACGACTGAGCAATAAACACAATACCCGCCTCTCAATCAATGACAGGACGGGGGACTTCCGACCCCCAAAAAGGCACTATTAAGGCAAAAGGGTTCGTAAATGGACAGTGTTAGACAGAGATTTACAATATTTCCACCTTAGCCCATTCATGAGAGATGCAGACAATTACCTCAAATCAAATATGATGAAAGAATCGGCACAAGTTATGGATATTTTGGTTGAACATGCTCTAATCGACGCCATGCTGGATTTCACGTGTCCCTTCTATCAACGATCAATGTATACAAACAAATTTTATTAAACAAATCGATGAAAATTGATTGTTGAACAATTGATTTCAAATATTTAATTTGTTTGGTGTGTTTCTTGTTCGAATTATATAGAAAGACTGTCTTAAGAAACCTCGTGTCTTTTGTTTACCATCAAGAAAATGTTGAAGCGGCCCACTTTTTGTGTCGATGGCTGTGATTGGTTAATTGATTCAGTATTGATCAGTCTGATGACGTCAATAAAACTACCTCATGAATATTTAATGAGGTAAAAGAGAAACAAAGGGAACGCCTTCTTTTATCTATATTTTCGGACAAAATAATTTATAAAATTTCATCTTAGATTTTTAAGAAAAATGTTAAAGATAAAACTCAAATTTACTGATGGCGTGAACATAAAAAAAAATAAAAATAAAAGTAAGCCTAAGAGTCGCAATGCCTTAAGTAATTCTAGTTTACCTGTATGCCTATTGTTGTCAATATTTTTCAAATGGCAATTTTTGGAGATCGGAGTTGCAGTGCAATTCGAAAATTGCAGGGCTAATTTGATCAAATATGGCCGTAAACAGACAACATAGAAGTTTTTAGGAACTTCTTCACTCTTGACATTTTCTTCCACTTTTGTATCAGAGGTACCATTGATAAAATGAACAATTCTTTATAAAAAATATAAACTTCTTTTTTTAAAGGTAAAACTTAACAAATTTTGTTAGATCTAAGTTAGGCAGATTGGAAAATAGTTGAAGCTACTGTAATTGACATGTAATAATTGTCGTCGCAATTTGTAAAATCTATCATATTGTTGTCGAAGTTGTCGTCACGGTTGATTTGGGCACGCGTCGGTGTATAACAAGTAGCGGGAGGGCAATTAGACGTAATTTTGATAAGGGCCACTGTTTTTTACGGGTTAATGAAAAGGTAATTAATCCAAAATACCAGGTAGCCATATGCCAGAAATTTACAGTAATGATAATGATATCGGTTGACGCCTAATTCAAAATTTGAAAAACTGTGAAACTTTTGACAAAGAGCCAAAATGAGAACGCCGGACGGGAACATTTATTTTGTACAAAAAAATGTACATTAATGAATTATTCAATTGAATTTTCAAAACCAGCTTATGTCAAAAACAAATATAACTTTTTGATATTAAATTTAACAAAATGTTTTTATACATAATCGTAGCGCGATGTATGTAAACGTGCCATATAAGCCGTTTAATTCATCATATACAATTTAATATCGGACAAATCGCTGAATATTTCTTTAAATATACGGCATTTTCGGATAACGACTATGAGTTATAACAGAATGTTAGATATCATCATAAAATATAAAATATAAGATATTTCTCGCATATCATATATAATTTCGGATAATATACTTCATTATATCCACTGTACCAAAGTGTCATACATTGTTGAAATTTTTCTAAATCTCTTTAAAGGGATTCGCGATTTATAATTTTTAGGTATGAAATTTTCTTTTAAATTAGAAATAATTTTGATCTACTTTGCGTATATGGTTTTTTGTATATTTTCAGCTGTATGAATAAAACAGGTGGCCATTCGGCTAACAAAGTATTTTCATACCCAGTTGCTTTCATCTGCCGATATTCCGTATAATAGAGAATATATAGGAAAATGTTTTGAATTTTTGAATTCCAAATATCTTTAAGACTGCGTGTATTTTTAAGTAATTTTTGAAAAAGTCAAATAGCGCGTAGGCTATATGTTCCGTATGTCCCGTATACTTGTGGAACGACGTCTATTACTGGCTTCAAAGAATTCCCAAACTTAATGTAACCTTACCTAAAGTCAAAATAGGTTTTTATGAACTGAGTTTTAAAATATAAAGTTTCGAAGATCGCATACTATTATCGCATTCCGTAAAAGACTCTTCTTACCTTATAAGAAGCGCAAAAAGTTATGTCACGGAATTCCAAGTTTCAAGTCCATACACGTTAAGCAGTATCCTTGAATTTTTGAAATTTTAAAAGAAATTCTTTTTCGGTTTGTTCAGCATGTTCCGCTATCACTGGAGAGACTAAATAAATGATTTTGCCATATCAATTCGCCTTATAACTCTGTCGTCTGTCTTGATATTGAACGTTTAATTGATGAATTGGAATTCGTTTGAGACCAGCATTCTACTATAAAACTTTTCCAACTTTAATGTATGCATGTTTAGGAAAACAAAAGAAATGGTATTAGGGTTTGGCAATGTAATATTAAAGTTTTGCTCTACTTTGATTCAAGTGGACCGCTTCAATATAAGAAGGTGAAAAAATATAGTCGGCGACAAGTGTATCGTAAGGTGACCAAAATACAACTAAATAGAAATTGTTTCCTATGTAAAGTTGGCCACAATGAAAGGTAAACGACGTCTTGGAGGAAATTATTTGCGCACGCGTATTGTGGTTTTCTAGATGCGCAGTGGTTGATGCGCAGGTCGTTGGGTTACAGCTGTCTAAACATGGAGGACGACTAAAGGGGGAGACTTCGATTACTAAGCGTACGTAATTGCCCCCAAAACAGAACGAGCCAACCAGAAGATCCCTACCAAAGGTTACAATAAGTGACAGTTTATCATTCTTTATTGTTCGATCGTTTTTGATTGTAGGAATGACGATGGAAAACATGGGAGACATTCCCAGCGATCAACAAATCAGTGAGTCGACAGTACCGCCCGTCAGCTCGGCGGACGAGGAATATACAAATCCACAGGAAGAACTTGAACCTACAGTGTCCAGAGCAGAAGCAGTTCCCGTTACTGTGAGCAGCATGATCGACAGTGGTGATTTCCGCTCTCACATGGGTGATGCTACCTATCACACATTGAATGGAAGGATGAGTCCGAACTACAGTCCAAACAATAGCTATGCGACGCTAACGCCATTGCAGCCGCTGCCACCTATTTCTACAGTTTCAGATAAATTTAGTCATGTTCCTTCATCAAATGTTAGCGGAAGTTTTACTTTAATGCCACAAAATAATGGACTTGGAAATGTGATGGATATGAGTGCTTACCGTTATGATAAAATGAGTATGGGAATGAACATGGGACCGACATTAGGAGCTACGCCAATGACAATGATGTCACCCAATACACTTCAATCATATCAACAACACGGATTCACATCATACGGTTATGGACAAAATGGATTAGGATCGCCAGTAAAATCAGAACATTGTCACAAGATGATATCACCAAATTCGTTTGACTCGTATGTTGGATCTCCTATGCGTATTGAATCTAATTCATCTAGGTTACATTCACCAAATATCATGATGTCACCAATGAATGGAATTCATCACTCGGCACCTACACCTTCACCTCATAGTGATAGCCCTCAAAGAGATCTCAGAGCAACTACGTCAGGACTGGAATCTCCTGACAAACAAGATTTAGAAGAAATAAATACAAAGGAATTGGCCCAAAGAATAAGCAGCGAATTAAAAAGATACAGCATACCACAAGCAGTTTTTGCGCAGAGAGTTTTGTGTCGGAGTCAGGGAACCTTGAGTGACCTACTTCGAAATCCAAAACCATGGAGCAAGTTGAAGTCGGGTCGAGAAACGTTCAGGAGAATGTGGAAATGGTTGCAGGAACCAGAATTTCAGAGAATGTCAGCCTTACGTTTAGCAGGTAAAGTTCTTTCAAAGTTGTCTCTTTATGAATGTTGTTAGTTGTACACTATTCTATGTACTAGTATGTGTCAATGTTTGTATATTCTGTGATACCTATGTCATGCTATCCATCTTATTCCAAATCTCCATCTAGTTTTGATCTAAGATTCTTGAGACATCCACGTGCTTTGTGTTTTGACTAAAATGGTTCAATGAATTGACTAGAGTTAAATGATCGATCAAGGGTTAAGATTATTGCCATTATCTTTGCCGATAACTAAATGCTAGAAGCAATATTGTCACACTTTCATCATTGTTAACAACCAAATTAATTTGTAGTAACAATTAGCTTTTATTGTTGTGATCAGAGGGGTATTGTGTATATTTGTAGTAACAATGTTGTAATTTACTGTTATATATCAGGAGTGTATTGTCTGTATACTTCATATGGCCCTGTTCATATACCACAGTTAGTTATACCATATTGCCCATGTTCATATACCAGGTAGTTATATATATGATACTGCCTCTTCCATAGTAGGTCTTTGTGATATTGCCCTGTTCCATGAAAGTGTTGATATTTATTGTGTTCATATACCATAGTAGTTCATATTGCCCTGAGCTTAGTGTAGAACATATATAATTTAGATATGCCCTGTTCATATACCATACTTGTTATTTAAAATATCACCACAGGATTTTTTTGTGATATTGCACTCTTTATATACCATCATAGTAATAAACTAAGATGATAATGGTCTTTTCTGCAAGAATCTTCTTTGATATTGCCCTTCTTATATGGGACAAGTCATATACAATGGTAGTTTTTTGATATTACCTGGCTTGAATAACACTGAAGATGCATTATTTTGATGTATATAAGGTTTAGAATGTTTTAAAATGATTAAAGTAAAATCACAGTTTTAAAAAATCTGAAAGAAAGAAATTACTGTCACCTGACAGAAAAATGACAAAATGGATGAATTATTTATCTGTCTTTCTAAACTATTATTTATCAGTGGAAGATAATTCTAAGTCTTGTCAATTAATGATGAAAAATGGACTAGGATGAATAAAGGCTTGTTTCATGTCAAAATAAGGTAGCACTAAATGTTTAATGAGTACTATTAAATTGGTGTCCTCAGTGCAGATGGTGGCCTGTGCCTTAACAGTTGGTTAATCAGTCAAGCATGAAGGTTCTATATCAGAAGGATGTGATATTTGATAAGCTTATAGTAAAGGTTCAAAAATAGTGTGGATTAGGATTTGTCAGGGATATTGTCAGCCATATTATTTATTAAGCTTATATGGACAATTAGGGGCATTCATTTAATTATTTAACTATTTTTGTATTTTTAAATATTTCGATACATCTTTTAAAATGGATTCCATTATACAAAATGTTTTGGCCCTAGAATTTTTAGCCCAATATACAGATAGTGTCTAAAATATGCAATTGATCTATGGATTACTTAAAGCATTGTGTTTCCAGATAGCCACAATATTTAAAGAATCCAGTAAAAGAGAATACCAGTTCCATAATAATAACATTTATTTTTGTCTGAATTCACCTAATGAAATCTTGTATGAAGGCCTTGCGTTCTGATAGTTATAAAACACTCCCTGTAATATTTTTATAGAAGACTAAATAACGTAAGCTTACTTATTTCCATTTGACTACTTTATTAGGAGAGAAGTTAATTACGTTCTTGACTACTGACTATAACAATAACAAAAAGCTTCATTAGCAGTGCCCTCATTATCATGCCTTTGCTTATAAATTCATGGGAAAGTGAAGTTGCTTTGTCGTCGTTGACGTGTTTTCTCTCTGAAAACTGTATTCCAGCTAGGCCTATTGTTTGATCGTGGTTATTCACTGGTCTCAACATGTGGCTACCGAGAACTGAAATCTCAATTTCCTCTATGTCTCTCCTATCGTAATCTCGTTGCCTGGCAACCTCTTTTGTTTCATATGAAGAGAACAGGATTCTCTGCACTGGTCACGGTGAAGGATTTTTTATTCGATTCACTTGGATGCTTTTGTAATAATTTTCTATTACAATAACTATATTAGGGCATTCGTGTTTATGTCCGGTTTATAAAAACTACCTGACGCATGAATTCATTTCCATTAGGCAATTATTATATATTGTAAAATTAGATAGCTAAAATGTATTATTTTTTATTATATGGAACAGGATATTTGTTTAATTAGTGAGTCTTATATGTCTAGTATTTTTTATTTACGTCCACATAGTTATATTAGAGAATTAAGTTATTAAATTTGAAATCAGTGAGAATTGTAAATAAATAGATATTAAAATGAAATGAAAAAATATTCGACTATAAGTGCATTAATTTCTGTCAAAAATTAATTCATTTGGAATCGCAAATAATTAGATACAAAAAATGACGAAAGACAATTGAACTAGTAAGGGACTAATTTCTGTCTAAATTTATTCTAAAAAACACTGGAATTCTAAAAAAAAATTTTTGAATAATTTCCATACTAGGAATGATTAGTCATACATCTCAACTAAGACAATCAAATAACTAGATACATGACATCATGGATGGGAAATAACACAGAATAAAACATAAGGATAGACTAAGTTGATGTACAAACAATAAAACGTCATGACATGATGATAAAGGAATTATGACAGTCTGTTCATTATTGATATATATTTACCTTGTCACTATTCTAAATTAGAAATATTTCTACTGTACTTTCACGAAAGGTTACTCACTAGATGAATTGAGATAAGAGTAAATATCATTGATCTATACTTTTCAAATCAAATAAAAAATACTCAACATAATGATGTGCTGCATGAATTGAACATAATGTTTTTGGATGCAAAAAAAAAATCATGGAATTCTATTTTACCAAGAAACTATAACATAAAGTAGGCCATTTTCTAGGGAGTCTAATAATATTTAATAATTTGATAACAACCTGCTATCAAGCCAGTAGCTATCTTACATATTGATGTGAATTAAATATTGTGTTTTTGAATGCAAAAAAATCATGAAAATCAAACTTGTCTTCAAAACTGTAAGAAAAATGTAGGCCATATTCTAGGGAGTCTGCTAAAATGTAATAATTGGTCAAGTTTGTAAGATAATTGATGTATGCTACATACAATTTGATGTTTTGTTCTAAGTTTTGTTTTTGGAAGCAAAAATTTCATAAAAATCGAATTTGACTAAACAGCAAGGGACAAGGTAATACTATGTCCATAGACTATATTCTAAAGAATCTCTCTAAATTCGATATTTTGGCCATCTTAGTCATTGACTCATATCTTTGGTGTCGACACTAAGTTTTAAATGACTATTAATATGTATATTGTGTCAATAAATTACATGAAATATGTTTTGTATTTCATAGTGTCAGTAGAAGTAATTTGCCTAAAAACAATGAAGTAGATTATAATTTAGGGGATTGTCCATGGGATAGAGACAGGGGAAAAGATTACATGTACAACCACATCTGTTCATGAATACAGGATTTTAACCAAACTGTGGATAACTGTCTCACCTCTGCAGCAATAATTAAGCCATTGTTTAGGGCTGTTAGCTCAGACCAGTGGTCACTGTAAGGACATCTGTTCAGTTTACCCTTGTTGTTTGGGAACAGGAAACAAAGAGGATTGATAGTAAATAGTTTATTAGCAGCCTAGCTTGTTGTTATAGGTTTCTGTCCTGTACACCTGCTTTGTGACCTACATTGAATATGAATTCTATTTAGATGTCATATATATTATTAATATATAAGCTTGTTATAGAAATATATGTATAATCTATACATCCTGGAAGTAGCCTCAATTTATTACTATAGATATATTTATTTGCAATGAAATAACTTAAATTTCTTAGTTTGAATGCAAATACATTATAATATCATTCTGTGACTGGGCTTAATGCCAATTTTTCTTTAAGAGAGTTCACATAATTCCATGCTTATTTCCTATATTATGCATAGGGTTGTACTAAAATGAATTGAATTTGTGAAAAGTCTGCATAACCATATATATATATAAACAGACCTGCCTCCCTAGTACAAGGAGGATAAAATAATAGGCGCTCTTTTAGCATTATGAAATTCTCCTGTGATGTATAAATATGATGAGCAAATTAATTAGATGATGTTAATTAGAAGATTATTAGACCCATATATAAATAGACTGATTATAATTGTAGCAGATGGGATTCATTCCTACAAAATGAATTATGGATATTCTAAAAACTTGGCAGAACATTGAATGGGGACATTCCTCTGTATATTAGATGGGCTATTAGATTTTGAAAAGATGTATGACTTCCAGGGACAATAGAAGAATAGACGTGAGAAAGTGGGACCCAAGCCTGACCGTTATTACAATTTTGCAAGCTTTTGAATTCCTCGGCATACTCTTTTATACACTGTTAGCTCATTATTTCAGTTTCTAAACAAATAACAAAGCACTTCAAGAAACAGGTTACTTGCATGAGATGCATAAAACTCCCCAAATTGTTGGCAAAGAAAACACACTTTCAATTCAATTCAATCATTCATCATTGTTTTATAGTGACCAGTTGTTAAACATGCTCCTCTGGTAGTGGTTTTGGTCCAGGTTTACTCAAGTTCTGACAGAACCTAAGGAATGTCATGTATTACTTGATCTTGCAAACGCTTTTGGCTAGTAAATTGTTATATGACTTGGTATAGTATGACAATATTTGATTCAAATGGTAGGTAAGCTTTCTTAGTAATCATATACCTAGGGCATTGATAAAGCCTTTGACCTTGTTTAAGGTAACTATCATAGAAACCAACCATTTTGGATAAAATTTCAACTGTTTTAGATAATCCTCTGAAGATATTTTCATTGCTTGAAGGAGAAACAGAGAAGGGAATTTTATCTTTTTTTCAAGACTCTTCTGTAAATCAAAAAATAAATGATAAATGTATTTGCTAGTGTTTTCCTTTGAGTCTGAGTAGAATGAAATGATAATGTTGGTAGCCTTGTTTCA